ACTCTAAAATATATAAATATAACTAACATCATACTCTAAAATATATAAATATAACTAACATCATACTCTAAAATATATAAATATAACTAACATCATACTCTAAAATATATAAATATAACTAACATCATACTCTAAAATATATAAATATAACTAACATCATACTCTAAAATATATAAATATAAATAACACCATACTCTAAAATATATAGATATAAATAACACCATACTCTAAAATATATAGATATAACTAACACCATACTCTAAAATATATAGATATAACTAACACCATACTCTAAAATATATAAATATAACTAACATCATACTCTAAAATATATAGATATAACTAACATCATACTCTAAAATATATAAATATAACTAACATCATACTCTAAAATATATAGATATAACTAACATCATACTCTAAAATATATAGATATAACTAACATCATACTCTAAAATATATAAATATAACTAACATCATACTCTAAAATATATATATATAACTAACATCATACTCTAAAATATATAAATATAACTAACATCATACTCTAAAATATATAGATATAACTAACACCATACTCTAAAATATATAAATATAACTAACATCATACTCTAAAATATATAAATATAAATAACACCATACTCTAAAATATATAAATATAACTAACACCATACTCTAAAATATATAGATATAAATAACATCATACTCTAAAATATATAGATATAACTAACACCATACTCTAAAATATATAGATATAACTAACATCATACTCTAAAATATATAAATAGAAATCACACCATACTCTTCCCTTGCAACAAACGCACATACTTTGCGTCCAACACCACTGGCTAAAAATTCAGAGACAAACCTTTGAATCCAGACATGCATTTACAAGTGTACTTCCCAACAGAACCTGTACAAATTCCGTCGTTTTCACACGGTTTCGATCGACACTCGTCTATTACATGTTGACATATTGAACCTTCATATCCATCCCGACAGGCACATGCTTGAATTCCTTCTGTTGATGAACAAGTTGCTCCGTTTTGACAGGATGAATTCATACATTTATCTTTGTATCTACATTCACCATTTACTGTAATATGGGAATAGAAACAAATACGACAATTTAATAGTTGTCAAAATTGCAATATATTTTTCGAGAGGTGCTTAAAATTGATATGAGCGCTGACAAGGACATCTGTTTGGGGAGGGGTTGGTGGAGGATGGGCACGTAATATATTCAGGTCTTTTGTTGAAGAGAAGAAATTGGTTGGTTGTCATTTTTTCTTAGGGAGGAAATTCATTTTTTTCAGAGCAAGGGTTAATACAATGACCCTTGTCCTTGTCCCTGAAGCTATGTGCATCATCTAAAATTGAGAACATAACATACCAGTCGTGAACAAATCCTCACAAACACAAATTGGAGATTGTAAATCATGATCGTCATAACATAAACCATTGGTACACAAAGATTCTTTACAGAGTGGCAGAACAGTTTCACAATGGTCTCCCATATACCCTTCTTTACACTGACAGGAATACCCTGGTGTTCCCGGTGTTTCTTCACATGTACCGTTATATAAACAACCATCAAGGTTCTCCTCACACTGCTCTAAAATAAACATAATAGATCCGTGTATCAATGCTGAATGTGGTTATACATTGTCTTGCAGTGGCAGAGCCAGGTTTCTTCAGAGGAGGGGGGGGGGGGGGGGGGGGGGGGGGGGGGGGGCCCAAAAACCCT